CTCTCTCTCTCTCTCTCTCTCTCTCTCTCTCTCTTTCTTCTTCTCTCTCTCTCTCTCTCTCTCTCTCTCTCTCTCTCTATTTATCTCTCTTCTAAAAAAGAATACTTTACTAATTTTTATAAAAGTCGCAATTAATATCGTGACCCAAACCTTCCACTCGCTAGTTTTACCATTTGTCTTTGGTACAGGAATAATATCGCGAAGGTGCAAGTATATTACCGTACAACTTCAGTGGAGCACTTGGAACAACATCCGTTCGTCACGGTGAGATCGTCCTGATGTATTATAATTCACGTGCTGCGTATATGTATAATTATATATATATAAACATGAATTGCAAAATGAGGGAGTGATGAACATGTCTTTCTGGCGAACCAAAGTTCAAAATGAAAAAGTTAGATACACAAATGATAAATCAACGATATTTTATTATTTAAATCGTTTTCAAAACAGGTGACAGATGGCCACGAATTGTCACTTGTAAAAAACAACAATAAGAGTTATCACTGCTGACGTTTCCCTCGAGGAATCATTGATTAAATGGTTCCCTTAGATATATACATTCATAAATTAACCCCACTACCACGCAAGTGCTACGTACTGTAGCGTACCGCGCCGTAGCGTTACACACGTACATACACCTGCACGCGTGTGCTTAATTGCAATACGCAATGGCCGAGAATTTCCCGAAAGTAGTGGCCAGTGATATAGTATAATAAATTGTACTATGATGTAATATTAAGGTGCTGATCACGCTTACTCGCTAGATAACACATTCATCAACTCATCATGACAACACATCCAACACATGACAACACATCATGACACGGCGGTTATTACGATTTTAACAGAAACATGATTTATATGCTCTGAATCCGATTTCAGTGAGCAACATTCAGGGGCGGATCGAGGGTTTGGGTGACAAGTTTCCATATGTTCTTCTGCTGCTAGGGGGTCCGGGGGGGGGGTAAATTTTTTTTCCCACTTGAGTTTCGGACCACAGCCAATCAGCGCACTCCATTCACTCGACTTCCTCGAAGCAACAATGTAAAATGAGTACCACCTATACCTAACCCTAACCCTAACCCTAACCCTAACACGTAACCGAACCCTAACCCTATCTATAATCCAACCATATATATAAGAACCATTTATTACAAAACACTATCTATGGTGGGTCCGGAACTCAAGTGGGAAAAAAATTTCGCGTCCGGGGGCATGCGCGCCCCCCGGAAAAAAAAAAAAAAATTAGGCTATATTTGGTGCATTTTTGGTGAATTTTGAGGCCTGTGACCGGTTTCTGGAAACAGGTGCAAACCGGCCTAAATCCGCGCCTGGCATTGTACAATGTATAGACGCAAACCCCCACTTTATAGTATAATTCTGGGAATCCTTCATTCGGCAAACAGGATTCCGTCATCAGTACACACCCTCGCGTGACGCATTGTGATTGGCTACTTAAAAAGGCTTGCCATGACGTCACCTATTCGTCAGGGTTGTGTGGCAGCATACCAAGCGTAGATGTGTGGCATGCGAGAGGGAACTCCATTTTCTCTAGCTTGTCGTAACTTTTTACACGTGAATATTCAGCGTCTACTTGTGCATTGAAGTTTCATATTGTCCCAAAATGGACATAGAAAAGCGGAAAGCGGTAAGATGTAGAATAATGTCATATAAAATTTAAGATAGGTCTGTCAGTGAATAATTGGCGTTTTGCCAAGAGTATTCACAATCACATTGCCGTTGGCATGATTTGGTAGCCCCAATGGGCAATAATCCAAGTTAAAAATTGGTACGCTGTCGTGACATTGGCAACTCGCTGCACTGCACCGATTTTGTGCGAAAATTATTCCATATCGGCTTGGTCTATGCTATTCATTCTCCCTTTATTAAAATCTGATGCTTGAACAGATATACGTGAATGGTGGAGGAATGCGTTGAACGTCATTCATTCTGATCGGTTCGCCTCACAGGCAATCTACACGAGTATATAATCGTTAATTTAGTGCCTTTAGGCTCGGCATAGGGCAAGTTCACTCATCAGACAACTAGAGTAATAGATTGTTTATAAGCCAGTGAACAAAACTAATGAAAATACATTCACCAGAAGTAGATAATAGGGAAGGAGTGTGACTTCAATAAACAAGGGAAATTCGTCATTTACTAGCATTAGAATACCTACGATTTACTACGCGTAACTCAACCAACTTGAGCTCAAATCGTACACAGTACATTCGCCTAGCGTCGTGCAAAATCGTTTCCTCGTATACACCTGCAATCCGGAGAGACAGACTAAAACGTACGACACGATTATCCATTCTGTTGCCCGCAAACCGAATGTATAAACCGCCTAACTTGAAACAAAAGGCAGCTGCTAACGTCTCTTGCTCCCTCGGCGATGCGGTGTGGCTCGCTAGTAGCTGCCTTTTGTTTCAAGTTAGGCGGTTTATACATTCGGTTTGCTGGCAACAGAATGGATAATCGTGTCGTACGTTTTATCTGTATCTCCGGATTGCCTGTGTATACGAGGAAACGATTTCGCACGATGCTAGGCGAATGTACTGTGTACGATTTGAGCTCAAGTTGGTTGAGTTACGCGTAGTGATGTCACGATCATCGATTATACTCGATCATCGGTTGAACAGTGGCTCGGACCAAGCGCTTAGTGATGTCACGATCATCGATTATACTCGATCATCGGTTGAACAGTGGCTCGGACCAAGCGCTTGGTTATCAAAATCCATAATCGATTTCATGGAAAAAAAAATAAAATAAAAAATCGAAATAATTGGAAAAGTGATGAGAATCAGATATATCATCGCTACTATACAAGTTATCCTTTATTAACATACATGTATTATACACACAGTAGTAAACAGTGCAAAACAAACATTAACCAGGGCTAAACAAGCACATACATGCACACACGTACATGCACACGACGTTACGCACACACAGGCATTCAACACCCCGAGTAACCGATTGTAACCGATCATCGGTTACTTGGGTCCAACCGATGATCGTTTACGAAATTACAACCGATGATCTTTTACAAAATTACAACTGATTGACAACACTAGCCTTACGCGTAGTAAATCGTAGGTATTCTAAGACTAGTAAATGACGAATTTTTCTTGTTTATTGAAGTCACACTCCTTCCCTATTATCTACTTCTGATATCATGATAGGAGCTTTTAATTAACCGATTTCCATGAGTAATTTTTTTTTTGCATTTTTAGTAGTATTTTTTTGGTGAGTCAATTTAAAAAAATGTAAAAACTATAGTTAAAAAAGAACATCACATTTAGTATAGGGCTTCTAAGTAAACTTAGGCAGTCCAACTGTGCTGTGTAGGTGAAGTAAA